CTGGGGGTGACCCCTCCAGACAGGTCACCCTCACAGGGGTAGGCCCAGGTGTCAGCCGGGCCAGGCCCAAGAGACTCCAGTCGAGGCCCTTCTCAGCTCTGCAGTAGGCCTCTCGGAATCCCAGAGCCCTCCTCCCCACCCCACTCACACTCACACTGGAGAGAGGAACTGAAGCCGAAGTCCCACCTTGGTCACTTTTTTTTGCCCCCACTGGACATAGCCAAGGGCTGAACAACGTCCAGATGCGCCCAGACCAAGCGCAGAGTGGGGCGGGTGGTCACAGTCAGACCTGAACAGGACGGGTTTCCTGCCTTGGGCGGGTGGGGTCGTTTGACCTCTGTGAGCCTCGGGTTTTCTCACCTGTGTCTGAGCTGGGAACACTTCCTGCCTCAGAAGCAGGAGTCTGGTTGGTGCAGACATGCCCCAGGGCAGCGGGGCTAGGGCGGTTCCTCATAGAGGAAGCTGGTGTTTCTGTGAGCGAATACTCCCCACTCCCCAAACACGAGGGAGGCGTTGCAGTATCGCTGCCACCACATCCTGCCTGCTCAAGCAGCCGCGCCCACCCTGGCAGTCTCATTCCAGACTCGGGGGCAGGCAGGCTGGGGCAGGCACCAGCCCCTCTCCTCCCGCTTCCGCTCCCCAGTCGTTATGCCCTGGCCCTGGATGGGGACTCCAGGTGTCTGCGTGTCGCAGTGGAGGCAGCTGTGTGATTCAGCAGACCCTCCCAATGCCGCTTTCTTTCCCAGCGGTGTGGGTGTGCGTGGACCCAGCTGGTCATTAGAGGGCCCGGGCCTTCCTGTGGGGTGGTGCTTGCCCGTGCTTGCCCTGGCCCGTAAGTCCTGGCATCGCTAGGAGAGCTGTCTTCTGGGCTGGAGCTGCCCGTCCAGGGCGGGCAGTGGTGTCTGCTGGCCCCTTGGTGACCTGAGTGCTGTGAACGCTGAGGGTGGGGAAGCTGCACTCCTGGGCCCATTTCTTTTGGCACTGCCTGGGTGGGACCTTGGGCAGCTGGAGGGCAAGCCCCACACGGTGGCAAGGATCTGAGCCCAGTGGTGGAGGGACAGGGTTTGTTGAAATCTGGGTTTGTTATTTTTGTTTTGTTTTGAGATGGAGTCTTGCTCTGTTAACCGGGCTGGAGTGCAGTGGCGCAGTGTTGGCTCAGTGCAACCTCTGCCTCCCAGGTTCAAGCAATTCTCCTGCCTCAAGCCCCCTGAAGAGCTGGGACTACAGGCACATGCCACCACACTCAGCTAATTTTAATTTTAAGTAGAAACAGGGTTTCGCCCTGTTAGCCAGGGCTGCGTTTGTTCTTATTCTACTCTGCTGCTCAATAGCAGGGTGACGTTGACAGGTGATGTCACCTCCCTGAGCCTCAGCACCCCCATCTGTGGAATGGGGCTAAAGAGTCCTGGTCTCTTGGGCATCAAAGGGATCCTGGGAGGGCCTGCAGGGAGGCCTGCCTGGTGCCTGGCACACTTCCAGGCCCTCAGCACCGGCTGTGGCCATTGTCACCCTGCTGAGTGTCCCATTCTACCTGCCTCACATAGAGTCTTGCTCTGACTTCCTCCTGCCCTCCCCATCCCAGCAAAGCCTAGAAAGATTAGGGACGGGGAGTGTTTGGCATTTGCAGAGAGATGCTGTTCTTGAAGAGTTCCTTACTAGGCTGGGCACAGTTGCTCAACCCTGTAATCACAGCACTTTGGGAGGCCAAGGTAGATGGATTGGTTGAGGCCGGGAGTTCAAGACCAGTCTGGCCAACATGGTGAAACCCCGTCTCAACTAAAATTACAAAAACTAGCTGAATGTGGTGGCGGGTGCCTGTAATCCCAGCCGCTTGGGAGATGGAGACACGAGAATCGCTTGAACCCAGGAGGCAGAGGTTGCAGTGAGCCAAGATCATGCCACTGCACTTCAGCCTCGGTGACAGAATGAGATTGTCTCAAAAAGGAAAAAAAGAATTTGTTTCTCTTCTGATTATTAATATGATTAGTAATCAAAGAAAGGTGGCCTATTATCTGGGCACTGCTGTTTCTCTCCTAAAAGAAACAGACACATTTGACATAGGCATTTAAAATTTGGTTTAGAAATCTAGGTACTAGGTTACAGTGTAAAGTAAAAATAGACTATAAAGTAAAAGCACAATTTGGCCGGGCAAGGTGACTCATGCCTGTAATTCCAGGACTTTGGGAGGCCGAGGCGGGTGGATCACCTGAGGTCAAGAGTTCAAGACCAGCCTGGCCAATGTGGTGAAATTCTGTTAAAACTAAAAATACAAAAATTAGCTGGGCGTGGTAGTGTGTGCCTATAGTCCCAGCTACTTGGGAGGCTGAGGCAGGAGAACCCAGGAGGTGGAGGCTGCAGTAAGCCAAGATTGCACCACTGCATTCCAGCCTGAGTGACAGTGAGACTGTCTATAAATAAATAAATAAAAGTATAACTTATTTTAATAAATATAGAAACAGCAGGGCGCAGTGACTCACTCCTGTAATCACAGCACTTTGAGACGCCAAGGTGAGGGGATTGCTTGAGGCCAGGAGTTCAAGACGAACTTGTTCAACATAGCGAGATCCTATCTCTACAAAAAATTTTAAAAATTAGCCAGGCATGGTGGCACACACCTGTAGTCCAGCTGGTGGCACCCTCCCCCAGTTACCTGGGGGAGGCTGAGGTAGGAGGATTGCTTGACCAGGAGGTCGAGGCTGCAGTAAGCCATGATCACGCCACCACACTCTAGTTTGGGCAACAGAACAAGATCTGGTCTCTTAAAATAAAAATTTTTAAATTCTAAAAGAATATACAGAAAGGACTGGAAGGTTGTTATTCAGTGAAAAGCTAACAGTGTGTAACCCTGGCAGTGACTGTACACAGGATTCTTTTTTTTTTGTTTGTTTTGCCATTTTGCTTTTTTACAATCTTTCATATGTTTTCCAGGGAACATCTAGTACCTTTTTTCTCCTTGATGGCCTTACAGAACATTGTAAGGAGAACCTGCCTTGGCCACATGATCATGAATGGCCATGGAGAGGTGTTCTCACGGAGATCTTGTTGTGTGCCTCCTGTGTGGCACAGGCTGGGTTTCCTAATGTGGCTTCGCAGCTACTGTTTCCTAAGCTTGGCCATCATTAGAGTCACCAAACTTATGTGTTAAAAATCAGGTTCCCGGCTGGGCACGGTGGCTCACGCCTGTACTCTCAGCACTTTCAGAGGCTGAAGCAGGCGGGCCATGAGGTCAAAAGATCGAGACCAGCCTGGCCTATATGGTGAAACCCCATCTCTACTAAAAAATACAAAAATTAGCTGGGCATGGTGGTGTGCGCCTGTAATCCCAGCTACTCGGGTGACTGAGGCAAGAGAATCACTTGAACCCAGGAAACAGAGGTTGCAATAAGCCTGGATCGCAGCACTGCACTCCAGACTGGCAACAGAGTGAGACTCCATCTCAAAAAAATAAAAAAATCAGCTTCCCAGCTTCTCTCCGTAGTAGTTAAACTGTACTCTTTCAGGGAGGACCTTCTGTTGCTGCTGTTTTTCATTCCTTTATACACATGTAACCAGAGATGATTTTACATTAAGACCTCTCTGTGATCACCCAGTTCATGGGGGAGGAAAGCCTTATCCTTAATCCCCTCTCTCGAGGCCGCTCCCCCAGGAGCCTGTCATTAAGACTCATTGTGTGACCTTTGATCTTCTGTGTGTTTCCGGAATCCTGTACACGCATAACTATACACGCGTGGTGGAATGCTTCTGTTGTTGAGGCAGGGTCTCTGTCACCTAGGCTGGAGTACAGTGATGGGATCACAGCTCACTGTAGCTTCGACCTCCTGGACTCAAGCGATCCTCCCACCCCATCCTCCCAAAGTGCTGGGATTACAGGCTAGGATTACAGGCGTGAGCCACCATTCTAGCCCCCATGTGGATTTTTTTTTTTTTTTTTTTTTTGAGACGGAGTTTCACTCATGTTACCCAGGCTGGAGTGCAATGGCGCGATCTCGGCTCACTGCAACCTCCGCCTCCTGGGTTCAGGCAATTCTCCTGCCTCAGCCTCCTGAGTAGCTGGGATTACAGGCACGCACCACCATGCCCAGCTAATTTTTTTTGTATTTTTAGTAGAGACGGGGTTTCACCGTGTTGACCAGGATGGTCTCAATCTCTTGACCTCGTGATCCACCCGCCTCGGCCTCCCAAAGTGCTGGAATTACAGGCTTGAGCCACCGAGCCCAGCCTCATGTGGAATTTTTAAACCTTGCTCTTTGGTTTATGGGAGTGAGTTCACCTTGCAGCCCCTCTGCCTGTTGCTCTTTCCTCGTGCTTTGCGAGAATCCCTCCAGCTCATAGTTGCAGCTTCACAGCGGCTGGTTCCCAGTGAACTGGGAGGTTTGTTTTGTTTTTTTGAGATGGAGTTTCACCCTTTTTGGCCAGGTTGGAGTATAATGGCATGATCTCGGCTCACCGCAATTTCCACCTCCCGGGTTCAAGCGATTCTCCTGCGTCAGCCTCCTGAGTAGCTGGGATTACAGGCATGCACCCCATTTTGTATTTTTAGTAGAAATGGGGTTTCTCCATGTTGGTCAGGCTGGTTTCAAACTCCCAACCTCAGGTGATCCACCCGCCTTGGCCTCCCAAAGTGCTGGGATTATAGGTGTAAGCCACTGGGCCTCTAGAGAGGCATTCCCTAATGCTCTTACTGGAATGCAAGGGGGTGGGGCAGAGAACCCTGAGGCTCCACTAGGGATCTGTCTCATCTCACTGTGTTCAGTCTTTCTGTGTGTTAAATGAGGAGCCTGCATACCTCCCCAGGGTGGTTTCCCAGCCAAGTGGCCACATGCTTTCTGCAGAAGGGCTAAGTGGGCTTCCCCATGGAGTGGGCAGGCTTTGGCTAGCAGCTAGATTTGAGGTGGAATTTTGGACAATGGTAGAATTTTCTTTGTCTTCTTCCCCTGACCCCTGCATCCTAGGAAAGCCAGGCCACCCTGTGCTAAACTTCTCCTGTGGGTCCCTTTTAGGTTAAACCATGATTCCGGTGACGGAGCTCCGCTACTTTGCGGACACGCAACCAGCATACCGGATCCTGAAGCCGTGGTGGGATGTGTTCACAGACTACATCTCTATTGTCATGCTGATGATCGCCGTCTTCGGGGGGACACTGCAGGTCACCCAAGACAAGATGATCTGCCTGCCTTGTAAGTGGGTCACCAAGGACTCCTGCAATGACTCGTTCCGGGGCTGGGCAGCCCCTGGCCCGGAGCCCACCTTCCCGAACTCCACCATTCTACCGACCCCTGACACGGGCCCCACAGGCATCAAGTATGACCTGGACCGGCACCAGTACAACTATGTGGACGCCGTGTGCTACGAGAACCGGCTGCACTGGTTCGCCAAGTACTTCCCCTACCTGGTACTCCTGCACACGCTCATCTTCCTGGCCTGCAGCAACTTCTGGTTCAAATTCCCACGCACCAGCTCGAAGCTGGAGCACTTTGTGTCTATCCTGCTGAAGTGCTTCGACTCACCCTGGACCACAAGGGCTCTGTCGGAGACGGTGGTGGAGGAGAGCGACCCCAAGCCGGCCTTCAGCAAGATGAATGGCTCCATGGACAAGAAGTCCTCGACCGTCAGTGAGGATGTGGAGGCCACCGTGCCCATGCTGCAGCGGACCAAGTCACGGATCGAGCAGGGCATCGTGGACCGCTCGGAGACGGGCGTGCTGGACAAGAAGGAGGGGGAGCAGGCCAAGGCGCTGTTTGAGAAGGTGAAGAAGTTCCGGACCCACGTGGAAGAGGGGGACATTGTGTACCGCCTCTACATGCGGCAGACCATCATCAAGGTGATCAAATTCATCCTCATCATCTGCTACACCGTCTACTACGTGCACAACATCAAGTTCGACGTGGACTGCACCGTGGACATTGAGAGCCTGACAGGCTACCGTACCTACCGCTGTGCCCACCCCCTGGCCACGCTCTTCAAGATCCTGGCATCCTTCTACATCAGCCTGGTCATCTTCTATGGCCTCATCTGCATGTATACGCTGTGGTGGATGCTGCGGCGCTCCCTCAAGAAGTACTCGTTCGAGTCGATCCGCGAGGAGAGCAGCTACAGCGACATCCCCGATGTCAAGAACGACTTCGCCTTCATGCTGCACCTCATCGACCAGTACGACCCGCTCTACTCCAAGCGCTTCGCCGTCTTCTTGTCGGAGGTGAGTGAGAACAAGCTGCGGCAGCTGAACCTCAACAACGAGTGGACGCTGGACAAGCTCCGGCAGCGGCTCACCAAGAACGCACAGGACAAGCTGGAGCTGCACCTGTTCATGCTCAGTGGCATCCCCGACACCGTGTTTGACCTGGTGGAGCTGGAGGTCCTGAAGCTGGAGCTGATCCCCGATGTGACCATCCCACCCAGCATCGCCCAGCTCACAGGCCTCAAGGAGCTGTGGCTCTATCACACAGCGGCCAAGATTGAGGCACCCGCACTAGCCTTCCTGCGCGAGAACCTGCGGGCGCTGCACATCAAGTTCACTGACATCAAGGAGATCCCGCTGTGGATCTACAGCCTGAAGACGCTGGAGGAGCTGCACCTGACGGGCAACCTGAGCGCGGAGAACAACCGCTACATCGTCATCGACGGGCTGCGGGAGCTCAAACGCCTCAAGGTCCTGCGGCTCAAGAGCAACCTGAGCAAGCTGCCGCAGGTGGTCACAGATGTGGGCGTGCACCTGCAGAAGCTGTCCATCAACAATGAGGGCACCAAGCTCATCGTCCTCAACAGCCTCAAGAAGATGGCGAACCTTACTGAGCTGGAGCTGATCCGCTGTGACCTGGAGCGCATCCCACACTCCATCTTCAGCCTTCACAACCTGCAGGAGATCGACCTCAAGGACAACAACCTCAAGACCATCGAGGAGATCATCAGCTTCCAGCACCTGCACCGCCTCACCTGCCTTAAGCTGTGGTATAACCACATCGCCTACATCCCCATCCAGATCGGCAACCTCACCAACCTGGAGCGCCTCTACCTGAACCGCAACAAGATCGAGAAAATCCCCACCCAGCTCTTCTACTGCCGCAAGCTGCGCTACCTGGACCTCAGCCACAACAACCTGACCTTCCTCCCCGCCGACATCGGCCTCCTGCAGAACCTCCAGAACCTGGCCATCACGGCCAACCGGGTGAGTGGCCCGGCCACGGCTCGGCATGTGGGCTGGTGGGCGGCCTGGCCGGGGCCTGTGGTGGGATGCTCGGCAGGCCCAGTGTCCTGGGACCAATGCCCCTGAGTGTGGAGTCCTCACTGGGGTTTACGGAACCACCGAGGAGGGAAGCTCTGTTCAAGAGACAGACTCCTGGGGCCCCGTGCCCGGCCTGCCGAATTCCAGTCTCTGGGCCCAGGGGCCTGTCTTCGCTCCAGAATGCTGCAGTTCTCCTGCCTGGAGAGACTGTATGGCCAGGCAGGACCTGTCCCCCTTGAGCCCAGTTCCTCTTTAGCAGGGATGTGTGTGGGCAGGAGGTCCGAGGCCGGGGGTTCTCTCGCAAAGCCGGGTGGTAGGAGTCAAGACTTGTCCTGGAGCTTGTGTGTTCCTCAGCTTGTTCTCAGTCGGATTTGGAGGCCAGGGGCCAGTCCGGGTCTACCTGAGACAGAAACTGTGGGTGTGGCCAGTGCTGGTTGAGGGGAAACCAGATGGTCCCTGCGGCTCCCAGCATCTCTCACACATCTTTCTCCACTCTATTTGGCGGTGTCAAAGGCAGAGTTGGGCTTGGTTGGGGCTAGCTTGTCACTGCCTACCTTTCTGAAAAGGAAATTGTGCAAATCATTGTAACTGGGAGTTTGGGAGGCCACATCCTTGACATACTTTCAAGATGTTGGTGGCCTGTGGGTGCCAGTCCCTTCCTGGCTGGGAAAGCCCCCATCCAAGGGCCCCTTGGTGGAGGCAGTGTGGATGGAGGGCTGGGTACTCCTGTGGCTCTGTGGTCTGGCCTCCAAAGTGGAAACAGAGCTGCTGCCATTGCAGGGATCCTCCCTCATCCACCCCTCCTGGGGACCTGCAGGTCCTCCTGGGCCTCACATTCAAGAGGTTCCTGCAGTGAGGCAGGTGGTAGAGGAAGCCTGAGGCCAGGGCCTGGGAGACAGAAGAGCCAAAACAACCACCACTGCTGCCCCTGACACAGCAGCAGCTGTCATGCCAGGCCCCTAACAACTTCACTAGGGATGACACCAGTTTCAAGAGGCTAAAGAAGAGACCTGGAGTTAACCAGGCACAGTGGGTCACGCCTGTAACCTGAGCACTTAGAGAAGCCAAGGTGCGACGATGACTTGAGCTCAGGAGTTCGAGACCAGCCTGGGCAGCATAGGGAAACCTCATCTCTATCAAAAATATAGAAATTATCCAGGCATGGTGGCATGTGCCTGTAGTCCCAGCTACTTGGGAGGCTGAGGCAGGATCGCTTCAGCCTAGGCGTTCGAGACTGCAGTGAGTTATGATTTTACCACTGGTACTCCAGCCTGGGCAATAGAGTGAGACCCAGTCTCTCTTTTTTTTTTAACCTTGAGACAGAGTCTCGCACTGTTGCCTGAGCTAGAGTGCAATGGCATGATCTCGGCTCAGTGCAACCTCTGCCTCCCAGGTTCAAGCGATTCTCCTGCCTCAGCCTCCCAAGTAGCTAGGATTACAGGCACCCACCACCATGACCGGCTAATTTTTTGCATTTTCAGTAGAGATAGAGTTTCACCATGTTGGCCAGGCTGGTCTCGAACTCCTGGCCTCATGATCCACCTGCCTCAGCCTCCTATAGTGCTGGGATTACAGGCATGAGTCATGCCCAGCTGAGACCCAGTCTCAAAATAAAAAAAAGAAGAACCCTGGAACCAGCAAATGAAACCTGGGGTGTATTTGGGGAACTTACCAGTTAGCACAGAGCATAGGAGCTCTGCTGGAGCACCAGGTCCCTGGGAACACAGAGAAACAGGCCCCTGAAGGACGAGGAGGAGGAAGCCAGGTGGAGGGGAAAGGGAGAGTCCAGGAGGTTCTGGTGGGCCAGCAGCAGTGAGCCAAAGAGCAAAACAGCTCCTGCTCATATAAAGCATGCAGTTTCTAGAGCATTTTCACTTAGCCCCCTCCCCTCCGCAGCCTCCGTGTGGCAACCCACATTTCTTAGTAGGCTTGTTGCTGTTGGGTGCATCTGCCATGCAGCGCAAGGCGAAGTCCCTGTTGGTTTAGTGAGCACCTGCTCTGTGTTCACCCTGTGCTGGCATGACATGCCTGTCCTCTTCCCACCAACCCACTGAGTCCTCCCAACAGAATCTGTCTCTACATCCCTGGGCAGGGAGGGAGGTGGCTCCTGGAATGCCCTGTCTGTCCTCCCCAGCCCCAGGACAGGACACACCTTCTCCAGTATTACTCAGACTGGAGGCTTCGGGCCCTCCAGATGCCTGCTGGCCTGGCAGCTTCCCTCCCCTCCTCCCCAGGGCTCTCTTACTACACAGCGGCCTGCAACTCACATGTATCAGGAATGTTGACAAGTCCATCTCCTGCCACCCCATATGATGACTTGAGCACAGCGGGAGAGTGTACCAGGGCAGGGTTTTCTCTTGCAGTTCTGGGGCAGGCCCACTGAATAGAAAAATTGGAGTCCCCTGGGGAGAAGCCACATGTGGGAAGCACAGAACAAACCCAGCCCTTCTTTATGGAGAGGGACCCCGTGGCTTCCCCATGGCATAGTGTTGCCCTTGATGAGCTCGGGCTTTCCCCACAGCTCCTGTTGCGCCTGCTCTGTCCCGGGCGCTGTGTGCTAGGGCTGTCCTGGCTGCAGGAGGGTGCGAGCCTCCAGCCTGGCTCCGCATCCTGTCCCTCATCCCCTGCTCATCCCACTAGCCTTGGCTGTTAGTGTCATGCCTGTTGGCTGAGGTCACCCCTCAGGAAAGGAGCTGGCGGCAGGCATGCTGTCCCAGAGGAAGGAGACCCTCTGGACACCCTGTTTAGCACACAGCTTAATCACATCCTGTCCCCACCCCCTGGAACTCCAGAGCCTTAATAGGGAAAACAGTTTCCTTGGGCCAGTCCCAGGCAGGACCCTCATTTTTTTTTTTTTTTTTTTTTTTTGAGACGGAGTTTCACTCATGTTACCCAGGCTAGAGTGCAATGGCGCGATCTCGGCTCACCGCAACCTCTGCCTCCTGGGTTCAGGCAATTCTCCTGCCTCAGCCTCCTGAGTAGCTGGGATTACAGGCACGCACCACCATGCCCAGCTAATTTTTTGTATTTTTGGTAGAGACGGGGTTTCACCGTGTTGACCAGGATGGTCTCGATCTCTTGACCTCGTGATCCACCCGCCTCGGCCTCCCAAAGTGCTGGGATTACAGGCTTGAGCCACCGCGCCCGGCCAGGCCCCTCATTTTAAGTGGGAGGCCTGAGTCCATCTTCCTCCCCACTCAGGCTCCACAGCTCCTCAGCCCTCTTGGCCTGTGGTGAGCAGGAGGGGTGGGTGTGGCCTGACCAGGCCCTTGGGTGCTGTTTCTCCAGATTTAAATTCTTGGTAATGAAAGCCTTGACAAAACAGGTATTCATTCACTCACTTGTTTACTGATTCGTGCAAATTGGGTGCTTTTTTTTTTTTTTAAGAGTCCGGGTCTCACTGTGTTTTCTAGGCTGGTCTTAAACTCCTGGTGTCAAAGCCTTCCACCTTGGCCTCCCAAAGTGCTGGTATTATAGGCATGAGCGACTGCGCCTGGCCTTTGTGCAAATGTTTTTTGAGCCCTTCTAGAATCCAGCTTTGGAGTGAGGCGCTGGGGACACAGGGATGAAGGCCAAGTCACCAGGCAGTTAGCACAGTGCATAGGAGCTCTGCTGGAGCACCAGGTCCCTGGGAACACAGAGGAACACGCCCCTGAAGGACGAGGAGGAGGAAGCCAGGTGGAGGGGAAAGAGAGAGTCCAGGAGGCTCTGGTGAGGAGGAGCCCTGAGATGGGCTGCCCAGGAATGTGGGCATCTTGGAGAGCAGAGGCGGGGCTGTGGTAGGGGTGTTGGCCGGCAGGAGGGTCCATCCTCCACCTCAGTTTCAGTTGTCTCTTCATTTAATAGCCGGTCCCTTAGGCAGGGCACGATGGCTCACCCTGTAATCCCAGCACTTTGGGAAGCTGAGGTGGGCAGATCATGAGGTCAGGAGTTCGAGACCAGCCTGACCAATATGGTGAAACCCCATCTCTACTAAAAATACAAAAATCAGCCCAGGCATGGTAGCGGGCATCTGTAATCCCAGCTATTCAGGAGGCTGAGGCAGGAGAATTGCTTGAACCCGGGAGATGGAGGTTGCAGTGAGCCGAGATTGCACCACTACACTCCAGCCTGGGTGACAGAACAAGACTCTGCCTTGGAAAAAAAAAAAGAAAGAGAAAAACAGCTGGTCCCTTGCCAGCCCATAGGCTTTGATGACTAAGACCTAGCTTTTTTGTTCAAAGTCAGACGAATAGCAAATGTTTACCACATTCCTAGTGATTGAGTGGGTGAAGGAATGAGCTGGCTTGCAACGTGAGCTTCCTCTTGCTGTAGTGTGTGGGGTGGGTAAGAGGTGGCAGAGTGGAAGAGAACTGTTAGGAGGCTGTGATTAACCATCAGGTGAGGCTGTGAGGCCTGGCGTGGCCATGGCCATGGCTGGTAGGGATGGAGAGGCGTGGACGGATCTGGAAGACGCTGGCGGAGGGGGCATCCAAAGGGACGGGGTTGATGGTGGAGGTGGTCTGAGTGACTGAGGTCTTTTGCATGGATTGTTGAGACTGGAGCAGGCAGGTTTTCAGAGGCCAAGGTGTGTCTCATGTCAGGTGTCTGGGGCCCGGGATGTCCAGGGGACCATACTGAATCCACCTGAAGCCCTACCCTTTCCAGGCTCATGGGTGAAGAGGGGTCATTGACATGGTCACTGTGGAGAGCAGAGAGGGAGGAGGACAGGAGTCTGCAGAAGAGGAGGGCAAGGCCAGAGCTGGGTTAGGAACTGGTGATTTTGGCAAGAGTTAAGGGTGGACGAGGTCAGAAGCCGGGTGATGCAGGTGGAGTGAGGAGACAGACAGCAGCTTGAAAGGTGGTTGGTCGGGAAGGCCAGAGAGCCAAGGATAGTGGAGGGGCCCTGGAAGCCTCCTGGGAAAGTTGTCTTTTTCAAAGATCAGGTAGAGTTGAGGCCTTTCAGTGCTGATGGGGACCCATTGAAGTCCCTGGGGAAGTAAGAGGGGGTGCAATTGAGGGATTGGGAACCAACTTCAAGCCTCCAGGGGCAGGCAACACTTCGGCAGAGAAGGATAGGTCCAGAGGATGGGTGTGGCTGTGGTGGGAGCCAAGCAACTGAAAGTACCTCCCATTTCCTCTGTGGGGCCTGGAGAGGGCTCCCTGCCTCAGAGCAGGGCATGTTCCGGGGAGGAAGCCTTTAAGGGAGGGGACTCTAGAGCCAGACTCCATGCAGACCTAAGCTCTGCCACTTGCTGGCCGGAGCTTTCCTGCTGTCCCTTACCACTGAGTGTGTCAGCAGAGGAGATCACAGGGTGGGAGTGGGGCTTTTCTGGGAAGGTTCTGGGCCCTGGGTTCCGCAGATCCCACTTCCCGTCTGCCCTCTGACCTTCAGCCCTGGTGACCTCAAAGCCAACCCCAAACACATTCCCAATCCCGGGCCACAATGGTGGCAGTGTAGGATCCCCAGGCCAGGAGCCTCCTTGAAAGCACCTGCTGCACCCAGGCCAGGCGTGGTGGCTCACACCTGTCATCCCAGCATGTTGGGAGGTCAAGGCAGGTGGATCACCTGAGGTCAGGAGTTCGAGACCAGCCTGGCCGACATGGTGATACCCCACCTCTATAAGCAATACAAAAATTAGCCAGGCATGGTGTCGTGTACCTGTAATCCTAGCTACTCAGGAAGCTGAGGCAGGAGAATTGCTTGAACTCGGGAGGCGGAGGTTACAGTGAGCCAGGATTGCGCCACTGCACTCTCTGGGTGACAGAGTGAGACTCCGTTCCCACCCACACACACACACACGAAAAGAAAGCACTCTGCTGGGCCTTGGCCATGCTTATTTCCCTGCTGGGAAAGCCAGGTTCCTACCCGGGAACTGAGGTCCTCCTCCAAAAATGGCCAGAGAGAGTGCCTGTGAGGTTGAGATCAAGTCTACAAAAAGGTCCTAAGCCACTGAATGTCCAAGCTCAGAGACATTTCTAGTCCAAACTGTGCCTTTTACAGACGGGGAAACTGAGGCCCAGAGAGGGAGGGGACTTCCAGGGTTACCCGGTAACTGGGTGTCGTATTTGGCAGGAGGAGCATATAGCATGGGCTGTGAGTGGGAGGAAGGATGCAAGGCATACATCCTGTCTTGGCCCTTTCGGAGAGGCAACAACCTCAGACGAGTGGCATGTCATCTCTCCCAGCCTCAGTCTCCTTGGCAGGAAAATGGGGGCAGTGACAGAGCAACCTCAGAAAGGCTGCTGTGCAGTCTCCCCATCATCCTCACTTGGGACTGGGGCCCAGGATTCCTAACTCCTGCCCTCCTCCCCGCTCCCATCTGAAGGAGGCAGCTTTGGGACAGTCAGGCTCAATAAGAACTCACAGCCCCAGCTGATTCATCGCAGCAGGGCAAGGAAGAAGCTGGCATACATGAGGCTCTTCCTGTGTGCCAGGAGACACAACACCAACCCACTGCGGCCCCACTGTTTGCTTCTTGCTCCATGCATGGGCTGATGAACCAGGTTGAAATCCTGGCTCCACCACTTACCAGCTGAACCTCTGGAAAAGTCGGTGTCTTTGGGGCCTCAGTTACCCCATCTGTAAAATGGGAAGAGTATGGACAGAGTATTTCTAGGTAGTTTGCTGGTTAAATAAGTTAATAGTATCAGTGCTCAGCGTGAACCTGCCATGCATTAAGCGGCATACAGGTGTCGTCTGTTAACAGCAGTTGCTCCACAGCTGCAGGGAATGCGGTCCGCCATGGATGTCTGACACTGCAGGTAGTGCAGAACCCTGTATATTCTGTTCGTTCCTATTCACCTATACCTATGGTAAAGTTTAACTTATAAATTAAATACAGTATGCTGAGGCTTTGAGGCCATTACTAAGTAAAGTAAGGGCTGCCTGAGCATAAGCCCTGTGAGACTGTGATGATCCATCTGGTCACGGATGTGGCTACTGAATGACCGACATGGATAGCAGATGCAGTGTAGGTGCGCTGGACTAAGGGACCACTTGCATCCTGGATGGGACAGATTTCATCATGCTACTCAGAGTGACATGCAATTTAAAACTTATGGAATATTGGCTGGGTGCAGTGGCTCATGTCTGTAATCTCAGCACTTGGGGAGGTGGAGGTGGATGGATCACCTGAGGCCAGGAGTTCAAGACCAGCCTGGGCAACATGGTGAAACACTGTCTCTACTAAAAATACAAAAATTAGCCAGGTGTAGTGGTGGGCACCTGTAATCCCAGCTACTTGGAAGGCTGAGGCAGGAGAGTTGCTTGAACCTGGCAGGCAGAGGTTACAGTGAGCTGTGATTGTGCCACCACACTCCAGCCTGGGCAACAGAGTGAGACTCCTACAGAATTTAGGCTGGGTGTAGTATCTCACTCCTATAATCCTAGCACTTTGGGAGGCTGAGGTGAGAGGATCACTTGAACCCAGGAGTTTGAGACCAGCCTGGGCAACAGAGTGAGACCTCATCTCTCCAAAAAAAAAAAAAGAAAAAGGATGGAATTTCCATTTAATATTTTTGAACTGCAGGTGATCGTGGGTAACTGGAACCACAGACAGCAAAACTGTGGCTAAGGGGGGACTACTGCGTTCATGTTTGGCAAAATCGGAGGGCAGAGCTCCAGATGGCCAGGACGAAGCTCCCTGTACTCATCCCACCCTGTGACTTAACAGATGAGGAAACTGGGGCCGGGGAAGGGGCAGTGACACAGCTGGGATCCTCGCCCCTATCGGTGAACTCTCCTAACTTCTCAGGAAGAGTTAACGGGGTGGGTTTTCTCAGCATGCTGTTTTGCTTTCCGCAAGTCATTCTTAAGCTGGGCAGAACCAACAGCCTGGCTCCTGGTGAACCCTGGGATGGAGGTGGGAGCAGCTGGCCAGTGCGATGTACTTCCGAGGGTGCCAGGTGCTGGAAGACAGTGGAAATCGAGCCAGGCAGGTCTCATCCTTAGAGCCTGTGTCTAGGGGGTAACAGATGGAAGGATAAGAACTGCGAGTGGGGATGTGGCAGCCATGAGACCCAGGAGGTCAGGGAAGGCTTCCTGGAGGAAGTGACTGCAGAGCTGAGACCTGGTGCACAGGCAGATATTGGCCAGACTTTGGCCCAGATTATGCTGGTGCTGGGTTGGGGGCCTGGGGATCAGAAAAGATGCTGAGATCTGGCGGAGAGAGGGAAGGGAAGCCCAGAGGTCCCATCCCAGCCACACCCACCTCACCCTTGCCCCTGCTTTCTGCCCGCCAGATCGAGATGCTCCCTCCGGAACTCTTCCAGTGCCGAAAGCTGCGGGCCCTACACCTGGGCAACAACGTGCTGCAGTCACTGCCCTCGAGGGTGGGTGAGCTGACCAACCTGACGCAGATCGAGCTGCGGGGCAACCGGCTGGAGTGCCTGCCCGTGGAGCTGGGCGAGTGCCCACTGCTCAAGCGCAGCGGCCTGGTGGTGGAGGAGGACCTGTTCAACACGCTGCCGCCTGAGGTGAAAGAGCGGCTCTGGAGGGCTGACAAGGAGCAGGCCTGAGCGCGGCCGGCCCAGCACAGCCAGCAGCGGGACCGCCAGCCAGTCCTCAGGCCCAGAGGGCCAGGCCCAGCTTCTCCCAGGGCTCCCGACAGCCAGGCCAGCCTTGCAGCCGGGCAGGAGCCCGGGGCCGGTTGTGAGTCGGGCCAGAGTGAGAGGACAGTATCTGCGGGGCTGGCCCTTTTCTCCCTGAGACTCACGCCCCCCGGGGCAAGCGGCTGTGGAGGAAAGCAAGTCTCAGTGCAGTATTTGGATAATCAGGGTCTCCTCCCTGGAGGCCGTCTCTGCTCCAGGGGCTGAGTTGCCCAGAGGTCCTGGGACCCTCACTTTAGTTCTTGGTATTTATTTTTCTCCGCCTCCTGCCTCCTTCATCCAGTTAACTTATACATTCCCAAGAAAGTTCAGCCCAGATAGAAGGTGTTCAAGGAAGGGTGGGCTGCGTTTTCCCTTGTCCTTATTTAGCGATGCCACCAGGCATTTAGTGCCCACCCAAACTGAGCAGAGTGGTCCGGGGCAAACCAGCCGTGGGGCGGTCACCCAGAGGGGCCGGGCTGAGCTCTGGCAGTGCGGTCCGTGGGAAAGCAGGCCTCCAGCTGGAAAGGCCAGGCCTGGGGCTTGCCTCTTCAGTTTTTGTGGCAGTTTTAGATTTTTTTTTTTTAATCAAAAAACAATTTTTTTAAAAAAAGCTTTGAAAATGGATGGTTTGGGTATTAAAAAGAAAAAAACACTTAAAAAAAAAAAAAAAAAAAAAACACTAATGGCCAGTGAGTTGGAGTCTCAGGGTGGGGTGGCAGTTTTTCTTGAGCAATGCAGCCAGACGTTGAATTGTGTTTCCTTTCCCTGGGGCGCAGGGTGCAGAGTGTCTTCCGAATCTCATGTGACCTTGGTCCAGGGGTTCTGTTTGTTCCTGGGGCAGGGAGGGTTTTTTTTGTTTGTTTTTTGGGTTTTTTTGGTGTCTTGTTTTCTTTCTCCTCCATGTGTCTTGGCAGGCACTCATTGCTGTGGCTGTCAGCCAAAGGGAATGTTCTGGAGCTGCCAAGGAGGGAGGAGACTCGGGTTGGCTAATCCCTGGATGAACGGTGCTCCATTCCCACCTCCCCTCCTCGAGCCTGCCCTGCCTCTCCACGCAGAGTGTTAAGGAGCCACTTTACCCAGACTCTGTTTCCCCACCTCCTGTGGCATGGGTGTGCCCAGTGCCGCTGCTGGCCTCCGCTGCTTCCATCAGCCCTGTCGCCACCTGGTCCTTCATGAAGAGCAGACACTTAGAGGCCGGTCGGGCACGGGGAGGTCACCCCTGGGAGTATAGGCTCCCTGACTTTGGTTCCAAGCCAGTTTCCGTCCCCGGCGCCTGGAGTGCACACAGCCCAGTCTGCGCCTGGTGGCAGGAAGCCACCCTGCTTTAGATCAATCACTCGGGTCCCCACCTTAGAAGGGTCCCTGCCTTAGATCAATCACGTGGACACTAAGGCACGTTTTAGCGTCTCTTGTCTTAATGATTATGTCCGTCCGTCTGTCCATTGCGTTTTCTGCGTCATGTCATTGGGTATAATCCTCAGAAATAATGCACACTAGCCTCTGACAACCGTGAAGCAATCCGTTACACGTGGGTCTGAACTTGTAGACTCGGTTTCCAGTATCAAATAAATCTATAACAGAAAGTGGCCTTTGGAGGTCTTTGTGTCCTGGGAGGACCCTTCCCTCACCTCTCTGAAACCTGCTGGGCCGTGTGGACCATTGCTTGGGCACCCACAGGAGAGTTTACTCTGCTCATCTCTCTGCCCCATGAGACTGTGTGCCTTTGGAGGCACTTACTGGAGATTGTAAGCCGGACGGAGCACCTGCTAGGTAACAGGCTGAGACCGGGGCCAGGGATCCCAGAGCCAGCACATTCTGCCATCCTAGTCACCTGTGGTTGGGCCCTCATGAGGGTTTTTTGTTTTTTGACAGGGTCTCATTCTGTCACCGAGAGTGCACTGCTGGAATGTAGTGGCGCGATCACAGCTCACTGCAGCTTCGACCTCCCCAGGCTCAGGTGGTCTTCTCATTCAGCCTCCCAAGAAGCTGGAACCACAGGGGCATGCTGGCTAATTTTTGTATTTTTTGTAGGGACGGGGTTTTGCCATGTTGCCCAGGTTGGTCTCAAACTCCTGAGTTCAAGAGATCTACCCACCTCAGCCTCCTAAAGTGCTGGGATTATAGGCATGAGCCACTTTGCCTGGCCCCTCATGAGTTTTGATGGGTGGGGATGGGAGAGGAGGTCACTGGAATGGAACCATTAGTCCTGGGCCTCTGTCCCAGCATGGGACAGGACATGCATGAAGCTAGGCAGATCGCTTCTCTCCAGTGGCCTCCATATCCCCATGTGTACAGTGGGAATTTCCACTCTGTGTTCTCAGAGGTCTCTTGCAGTTCCAACGGCGAGTCCCAAGTGTTCTACAGATGTGGGGCTGAGAGTCACTGTGGGGAGGCCTGCCTCAGCTCCCAGCCCCTTTGGGAGCCTTTGGGAGGTACTGGCGTCCCAGGCAGAGGCTCTGAGACAGCTGCTTCCAGATCGCAGTTCTGCCACGTTTGATGTGGGGCTTCAGTTTTCTCATTTGTAAAATGAAGAAGGGAATGGCAGACTCACAGGACTGTTCCGAGGGACAATGGCGATTGTATAGGTTTTTAGTGGAGGGCTGGCTCCTAGGACCCAGTAAATGGCCTTGTATCTTCCTTCCAGACCAAGGATCCTTGTGGGCCAATGGGGGCGCCCTGCAGCAGGAGTCTTTGGGTGAGGAAGAAAGGCCATCATATCTGACTTTGGCCTCAGTGATGAGGCCTGGGTGGCTGCCTGGGCACCTCCTTTGCAACTGGCCAGAGTCTATCCTTTCTCCCTCCACGGGGACTCTGACCTCCCCAGGTGAACTCAGGCCTGAGCCAAGATGCCCTCCCTCTTTTGCCTCTGCCATGGGCTTTCTGACAGGCTGAGTTGCTGGACTGTGACCCCCTGCGGAGGCTCTCTTTTTCTGTCTCCTTGGCGGCGGTCTCTCCCCGAGTCTGGTACCCTTCCCACCACCCACCAACCTCCACCCCCAACCCCACTCCCACCCCACCCCAGCCTTGATGCTGTCCAGTGCCCAGAGCAGAAGAGTTGGATCTGGAGCTGGTTAGCTTTTGGAAAAAACAGCTATGTGGAAACACCGCCCACCCACTTCCCAAAGCTGAGCAGAATGAACAGTTAGTGGGAAGCTGGGCCTCTCCCGTCCCCCTCCCCCACCCGCCTAGGGCTCTCCACTCTGCCTAAAACCACCGTGGTGGTGGTCTCTCTGATTGTAACAACAATTTCGGAAGCTCAGAACAATTTTCTTTACATCATATTCCACCCAGAAGAGCCCCTGCTAACATTTGATGAACAAGTTTTTCACCAGTTGGTTGGCACTTACTCAGTGCCGGGCCAGGTGCCAAGCTCTTTATCAGTCGTGAAGCATTCATCTGATTTACCACTCACAGGGGAGCCTTCTGCTAGCCCCAAATTACAGACTGGGAAAGTAAGGCCTGAACATCTGGGATGCAAACGCAGTCTGCCTCACTGAGCCTCCTCTGTAAGCTTTCTGTGGGGGCTCCCGGGGTGGCTGGCCCAGCCTAAAGGGACTTCAGTGTTCCTGGCACATGGTAGGCATCTGTCTTTGTTGGGCAGTTGAATCAGAAGGGCTGAGGACAGCTGGGAACATACCCTGTCTCCAGCAAACCTCGTGGTTCTGTCATCTGCCTGCCCCTCACGCAGCCTAACCTTTCTGAACCGGAAGCTTGGGCTGCACTCACTGCTTACCCTCCCCTTACCGCACCCCATGACCTGGCCCAAGCAGCAGCTCCCAGAGCGGTGGCCCAGCAAATACAGCTTGACTCGGGGCCAAGGCTCTTGAGGGCTGAGCAATGTTCCCATGCTCACTCCTGAAACACTGTCCCTTCGCCATTCAGAAGGCATCATTTTGGGGAAGGCAGTGGTTGGTTTTTCAGAGCCAGAGAGTGGCCCTGCCAGCTGCTGGGCAGGGCAGGCTGAGAAGGGTGGTATGCAGGTGTTGTTCTGACCTCACCTCCACTGTGCCAGCCTGACTTGGGATGCCAAGTATCTTAGGCTTGAGGGTGGGTAACAGGAGGCATCTCTCTCACTCCAGCCCCTTCCTCTTCCTAAGACACCCGTGTCTTCTACCTTCCTGTGGTAGAAGAGTGGATGGGTTAATTCCCTTCCATAATCCTCCCAGGACCTAGAGGCTTTCAGATCAGGGCTGGGAGGGGCCCAGACAGTTCTCCCCAGGACCTCTTCTACCTTTGGAATGCCTATCACCTGGGGGAGGGGGGTGTCAGACATCCCCCAGACCCATCCTGCATTCCACTGTATCCAGATTGAGGCCTAGAGAGGGGCGGAAGTCCCTTAGAGTCACAGGGAATGGCAGCGCCTGGACTGATACTCTGCCCAGCTGCTTTGCCTGACCCTCTCAGAGCATAACTTCCGGGCACCTGGTAAGCAGTGGTGGGGGGTGGTTTCCAGAAAGAAACGCAGAGGGAGCAGACGAAAACCTTGGAGATGGGAAAGGGCAAATCCTGGATTCGTTGTGGGGGTGGGGGAGATTAGATTGGAGGTCACAGGCTGATCTGGCAGTGTCTCGGGGAAGAGGGTTGGGTGGTGGGATCGGGTTTTCTCCGGGTAGGGAAGGGTTAAGTCCTCCCAAGCTCCTAAACTTTCTCCTCCCCACCCGGAGGCAGCACCTAGAAGCCGCCCAGTGCCCCGAGCTGTCTCCATGGCCTGCCTGAGCTCCTCGCAGCTCCAGAAGGTAGGAGCCTGCAGGTGGGGGCTGGGAGGATCATGGGGGGCTGGAGGGGTCACCGCGGTAGTCCCGTGCTCAACCCACCCCTTGCCCCATTTTACCGAGGAGGAAACTGAAGTCCAGAGGAGCGTGTTCTCAACCACAACCCCTGACTTCACACACAGCCCGGGGTGTCCAGATCACAGGACGCAGGGTGGGGTGGGGTAGGGACGTGTGTGTTAGACCAAAACAAGAATAAAGCCTCGGAAACCACCAGTTCGGCCCCAGGCTGGAATCGGCAACGAGGGGGGCGGGGACAGCACCCAGGAGGGGCGGGGCTCGCGAGAAGGGCCCAGGTTCTTCCAATCACAAAAGGCTACCACGTGGGAATTAGCACAGCATATTAAAAAAATCACTCAAACATTCCTACGCTGAGACTTAATATTTTCGTATACAGCTCTAGAAATTTTCTTCCATTATAGCAGCTACCACGAATCAAGTGCTGGACAAGTTTTTTTTTTGAGGTGGTGGGGAGGAGACAGGGTCTTACTACAGGCACACCCCCTCCCCTGACAGAGTTCATTTTTAAATTTTATTTTTATTTTTTGCACGATATCGGCTCAGTGCAATCTCCACCTCCCGGGTTCAAGCACTTCTCCTGCCTCAGCCTCCTGAGTAGCTGGGAGTATAGGTGTGCACCACCATACCCAGCTAATTTTTTTTGTATTTTTAGTAGAGATGGGTTTTCACCATGTTGGTCAGGATGGTCTCGATCTCCTGACCTCGTGATCCACCCGCCTCGGCTTCCCAAAGTGCTGGGATTATAGGCGTGAGCCACTGCGCCTGGCTATTTTTATTTTTTTTGAGACGGAGCCTCTATCGCCCAGGCTGGAGTGCAGTGGCATGATCTTGGCTCATTGCAACCTCCACCTCCCGGGTTCAAGGGATTCTCCTGCCTCAGCCTCCCATATAGCTGGGAGAAGCACACCACCATGCCTGGCTAATTTTTGTTTTTAGTAAAGACGGTGTTTCACCATATTGGCCAGGCTGGTTTCGAACTCCTGACCTCAAGTGATCTGCCCGCCTTGGCCTCCCAAAGTGCTAGGATTATAGGTGTGAGCCACTGTGTCCAGACTGGAACCTGACTTTTTTTTTTTTTTTGAGACAGAGTTTCATTTTCATCACCCAGGCTGGAGTACAATGGGCCCAGGTTCTCCACTCACTGCAACCTCTGCCTCCTGGGTTTTTAGTAGAGACAGGGTTTCACCATGTTGGCCAGGCTGGTCTTGAACTCCTAACCTCAAATGATCCGCCTCCCTCAGCCTCTCAAAGTGCTGGGATTACAGGTGTGAGCCACTGCGCCAGCCCTATTTTAATTTTTGTAGAGATGGGGTCCCATCACTATGTTGCCCAGGCTGGTCCTGAGCTCCTGAGCTAAAGCGATTCTCTTGCCTCGGCCTTCCAAAATGCTGGGACAACAAGGCATGAGCTGCCGCGCCCAGCCTGCCAGGTTCAATAAAAGAGGCTGTACTGTCATCCCCATTTGGTAGCCTGAGGGCCAGAAAGAGGAGGGAACTTACTTGGCCAAGTTCTCACAGTGGCCAGGTAATCATTTATAGCCAATCTTTTTTTTTTTTTTTTTTTTGATTTTTCATCTCACAGTATATCAGGTTCATTCCCATGAGAGTAAATATGTTTTGGCCGGGCATAGTGGCTCACGCCTATAATCCAAGCACTTTGGAGGCCAAGGTGGGCAGATCACCTGAGGTCTGGAGTTCAAGACCAGCCTGACCAACATGGTGAAATCTCATCTTTATTAAAAAAAAAAA